CCTGCTATCCTGTTATCAATCACTTCAACTGCACAGTTGAGTAGTATGTCTTATCAGGCTTAAAAAACATCAAATTCTGCCTGCAATCACTTGGGTTAGAAAAGGAGTACGCAGATAAACTTCTTCACCTATTTTATTCAACAGACCTGCAAATAGGACAGGCAATGCATTTTGCATGCCACCATTCTTCTCTCCAGACAAATATTATGGAAACAGCTAGCTCCAACTGGTTCTCTCTTCCATACGGATAAAAAAAAGGGTATGAGGAGGAGATAGTCTTAGCCGTTAAGTACACTAATATCTGTTACCATTCCAGTATTATGCCGAGTCTCATGGAGTGATCTATGTTATTGACTCCACTGATGAGGAGAGGCTCTCGGAATCTAAAAGAGCGTTTGGTGAGTATGCTGTGTTATCAGTACTGTGGTTTCCTGATGTATTGTGTCACAGTTCTTTCATTACAATCGTGTCTCTTCCTGTGTACTTGAAGTATAAGCTGTGTTCTGTTGATGGCATGTCTGTAGCGCTTTTGAACCTTTGCATGATACGTGGCTGCGTTTGTGAGGTGAAAGCAGTGAAATCAGTGAGCTATTTAAGAGTATGGTCTGTCTTGTCCGTAAGATAATCGTCAGTTTCATTGCCTATAAAGACCTTGAGGCTCTTTTTCTGCTTATGTTAATTCTTTCAGAACTTTCATTTCTTATTCTGTATTTAGTTAATTCTTAGTAAAGTGCTTGTTGATCAAAATAAAAGTTTGAACTTGATCTGAAAAAAGATACTGTGATGAATGCAGTCCTGAAAGTTTGGATCAAATCAAACTAGCACAAGGAAGTGCCTCTTGCTTCCTCCCTATGTTCAGATAATTTGTGTCAAGCATTTGCACAACTTGGTCTTCTAGAATTAGCTAAACCTCTCTCGTTTTTTATTTTTGTGCTTTATAGAGAAGATGGTCACTAGCGAAGCTCTGGAAGGGGTTCCTATTCTGGTGTTAGCTAACAAGCAGGATGTAGAGGTAAGATAATTGCAGAAGATGTAGTTATTCAACGAGCAAATACGCCTTTGAAAGGTGGGCTGTGTCTATTCATGTCACATTTATTTCCAGTCCCTGGACTGGTGCCTAACAAAGTTTTTCTTCTCCTAGAAATAATTGCTGTGAATTTAGTTTTCCATTTTTCCTTTTCCTCCAGCCCTCTTCCAGTGACACAAGTGAGCTAACTATAGACATGTACATCTTGGCTGTTTTGAGCCATGTACGTAAACAGAACGAACTATTTAGCTCTGGTGGGTTTTCTTTGCTGTGACTTGGTATTTTAATCCTGTTTTTCATGTTTATTCAGCAAAACAATGTTTAGTGAGCTTCTGTTTATGATGCTGTTCCTGGAATTGTACCTGGAATTCTAGTACTGCAGTTTGAGTGATTATTCTCTAGATGGAGCTAGATACTTTCAGTAGAATTTGAAATACCATAACTTGCAGCTGTGGTATCTATTTCAAAGAATGCTATTGTTTCCCAGCTTCTTCCCCAGGACTTCCACACCTATCTCAACAAATGGAATTGTGGGAAATACTTTGACTTCTATAGCTATCACTCGTAAAAGATGATTTGGTTGTACTTTACTTGTACAGCACAACAGACCTTTTTGTGACGATCATAAGATGATTTAGTCATAGAAATAAAAAAAAATCTAATTCTACATAAGATACAGCATGAGATTAAGAGCCAGGACTCCTGATTTCTGGTCTTGGCTGTGCTGTGAACTCTCTCTGTTATCTGGTGGCAGCACTGACTGTCTTTTCTGTGTGGAAACTAGAATATTAACTCTCATTTCCGAGCAATACTGCAGCTTTACAGCAGGGAGCAGTCTGCAGTTTTTCCTTTAGCTATTGGCAGTTAAACTGTATGCAGTGACCTGGAAAAACTATATGCAGGGACCTGGAAAGCTGTTCCAGTTTTACTTATGACTGAATAGGCATGTTTTGTTTTCTGGCCATACTACAAAAGCCAGCTCTACTGGCAGCCTAACAGGACTAATAAAAAGAGATTGAACCAATTAACTTTTTAAACGTGACTAGAAAGAGGTATCTGGAACAGGCTTTCAAGAGGAAAACTGTGAATGGCTCTACCCCTTCTAGAAGGTCCAAGACTAGCCCACAGATTCAGTGCCTTTATGCAGTCACAGAACTGTGACAAGAGATTAGCAAAGCTATACTGACTGGACGTATGTTTACTTTTAATAAACATCTAAATTGTATGTTTAGGGGCCTACTCCTAAAATATGATTTTGGATATGAACACAGAGTAAGACAACATTAATGCTACTAATAAAATATCAAAGGGACTATAGCTTATTCTGCAGTAATTATTCAGGCTCTTTTAAGCAAGGTTTAGAAAAATCGGAGGTCTCTGTCTCCTCCACTGATCTAGCAACAGTAAAGACTTGTGGAAAAAAGTTGAACATTACAGGATTATCACTAATAGATTTCTCTGCTCTGGATGTCCAGACATGTAATTGTAATGGAGAATTCTCTCCAGGTCACCTCTCTTGTTAAGGTGGATCATAACAAGGAAAGACAAGTGGTATCTGAACGTTACTGGTATTTGCAGATGGAAGATAATGCGGCTGTTCATGATTACATCTTTAAAGGCCAGCAGAATACTTATGGTGAAATACAGCAGAAGTAGCATGTCTGACTTTTTTTTTTTTTTAGGTTTCATTCCTGAGAGTAAGCTAACAAATGTTTCAACTCTGACTCACCCAAACCCAATTCTTGAAATGCCTTAAATTATTTGAAGTGCAACCAGTTTTTGGCTCTGCCCCTAAATTCCTTGTAAAAAAAATTCCTCTATGAATAGGCAGTACTACTCCTGAGTAAATTGCATCTACTTCTCAGTATTGCCAGGCAGGAGTGGTGTTTGGCGGTGTCAGGAGAATGAAATACGATCATAGGCTGCAAAATACCAATTCAAAAGTCTTAATATCCTGACAATAAAGTGGATGAATTTCCCATGTGTCAGGAGTATGCTCTGTGGGTTTTTTTTGGAAATTTAATTTGGAATCCCTAGAGTTTTGGAAAGCATGTCTTTGACAAATGAGAGGAGTGATGGTGAGTAGCAGCGTATAATGGAAGGCTCATAGTTTTTTTTTACCTGTTTGTGGAACAGATGTTAGAAAACGTCTTCTATGTGATGGCCATTCTCAATTCCAACTTGAGAAATACCACAGCTTCCTTGTAAAATTAGTTTTCATAAGCTTGTAAAAAAACAACAGCGTAGAACATGGGTCAGGTAAGTTAGACTTGTTTAAATATTTTTTACTTATGCTATCAACTTTTCTATTGTTAGCTTCTATTTTAGTTTCATTCTGCCAACTGATTACTCTTGAGATAGCTGAAGAACCTATACTTGCTTCAGGTTTAATTCCGATACGAAGCTAAGCAGCGTCATTAGCTTTCTTGTGGTGGATTCAGCAGATAGAGACTCTGCAATCCAGCCTGTTTTGCCTAGAACAGCCACTGATGCTTTTCTGCAGATGACTCAATTTCTGGGGTCACAACTTTGCTGCTTCATATATTTCTGTGTGTGTTCTTCCTCGCTGTTAATTTGAGTAATGCTGTTCTGAGCCCTTCAAAAAATGAACTTTGTTGTACAGCCAGGTCAGTCCTAGGTCGACTAGCTTGAAAA